TTCTGTACTCAAACCAACGTTCTTGTATCTCGCTTAAATCAAATGACATAGTAAAACGGTCAAGTGTAAACCCTTAAACCGAATTCTTCCAAATTATCGTCAAAACGTAAAGTATTATATATTCATCATCGAATCAAGAAATTTGGCTTGATCAAAAAAAGATGAATTTGAGCATGAGAATGGTTTCATGAATATAGGCCCAGGACTAAGCTGTGTCCAAGGAAGTCCTAATAACCAGAAATAAGATGTGTTCAATTAGCGAACTTTATAGTTGGAGTCATAAATATCTTATTTGATATCTCAGGCATCAGAAATGTTCTAGCAATAAATTCCTTCGCAGAACTATCGTAGTTCGGCACATCGACGTCAGAACTGTCGTAGTTCGGCACATCGGCGTCAGAACTGTCGTAGTTCGGCACATCGGCGTCAGAACTATCGTAGTTCGGCACATCGGCGTCAGAACTGTTTTTTAATAAGAGACAATATTTCTTTTGTATAAAATGTTTTATTCCAAAATTTATCTGAACATTGTATTATAACACATATTCCACACGTAATTGACTATATCAATATATTTACAACCTTTTTTACCGAAATATACAGATAACATTACGTATGATCAATGACTAATCGTAATTCGGTAGTTAACATGTACAAGTTGTTCTGCTAGTACACAACAGTAAGTATTTTGGTTTCGTCAACATACATTATTAACTTTTTCAAAAGACCGCCATACCGGACACACACTTTAATTATTTTATCTCCGAGGATTGTAAATGTCACCTGAGGTGTATGCATTAAAACATGATATAGCAAAAGATACCGGGAAAGTTATTATGTATTGTCGTTATCTATCATATTAATGGCACACCATGTGCATCTTATTAAACTTACCAATACAAACATGTACCAAAATTATCTCAGATAGATCAGGTGACCTGAAACCTGATTCCCTTCTAAACAGGAAAGCAATGTCCGGGGTATATGTATCATACTGCTACCGCTAAGTATGCACGTAATACCATCGGCCATCCATGCAGGATGGAAAACAAAAGCTATTTCTCTTCATCAAAATATGATAGGTTTGTAATGCAATACTGGCGGAATGTGTTCCGGTTAATTTCGCTCTGCCTTCTGATCCTACACAAGCTACCAGGTGGCCCGCCTAACCTCTGTACCAGTCTACGTAGTACTTTACCAGCGAAACAAGGGCGTTCAAACTTACAAAAAGTTGGCATTTTACTAAAATTTCAAAGTGACATATCTAGTTGGTATCTAAGGAAGGTATAAGTATCAGGAGGCCGATAGTCATGGGTGGGTCGACTGATAGCGATTCTCTTTAGGACGGGTTGTGTGTGGACTACACCCCCTAGTCTTTAGGACGGGTTGTGTGTGGATAACACTCCATACAGTTCCAGTTACTTGGAAGTAAAATGCCTGAACGTGTGTCGTTACAGGTGCGTGTGACACAAATTGTCAATCCTAACCCGCAACACGTCTGACCAATAACACGAGGTGATCGCCAGTGTTAATGTATAGGGCTAGCGGCGATACATCCGCACAGCCTCTACACGTCACTCAGACTCGATAACGCTTCAAGTTTTTGCAGTAGTAACAAGTTTGGATTTATCACAAATGTGTCTTACGTGCAATCTAGCGCGCGTGCTATGGCCGATGAACAATTGATGAATGGGGATACCTATGCATTATAACAATGCTTTACTTGTTTTAATTTTCCTTATCTCAGACACCGAATTCATTTTGTTTATTCCCTGACCTAGTTTTTGTACAAACAATAAACCAACTTGTCTTTGTATTTTCTACAGTATCTTAGCGAATAAACATGTGAATGAAGCTAGGAGGACGAGTCTATTGTGTTAAGCTAGGAGGACGAGTCTATTGTGTTAAGCTAGCAGGGACGGGTCCAGGTGAGGGCGTAATGGGCGTACGCCCCCCCCCCCCNCCCCCCTTTTCAAAAAAAAAAAAGAAATCAGGAACCGTTACATTAGTGCATTTCACAATTATTTTATGTTTTTCAGCTCCGCTCGGCGAAAGATTTGATTCTACGCCTCCTCTTTCAAATATCCTAGAAACGCCCCTGGCTAGGAGGACGAGTATATTGTATTAAGCTAGGAGGACGAGTCTATTGTGTTAGGCTAGGAGGACGAGTCTATTGTGTTAGGCTAGGAGGACGAGTCTATTGTGTTAAGCTAGAGGGACGAGTCTATTGTGTTAAGCTAGCAGGGGCGGGTCTATTGTGTTAAGCTAGAGGGACGAGTCTATTGTGTTAAGCTAGGAGGACGAGTCTATTGTGTTACGTTAACACAGGCTATTGCAGAATTGTAGAAAAGGCCTCAATCCCTGATTACCAGAACGACTAGCTAAAACAAATATTTTAAATTAAATGCTATTTTTGAGAAATGTATGTAAATTACAAGGGAGACAATTATATAAGGACTATTAATTCCAATCTCTAGGCAAACAGTTAACGTTGTGGTTTTTAATTCCAATATTTTTGAAAATATCGCTGTTCGAAACATTTTCACGAACAGGTGTTAGTAACCTTATCAGAAAGAAGCTATATATTGTTCTATTAAAAAATGTGGCATACCGTATCTACTACGAACTACCCAGGTACAATCACATGTATGCTTCTTACATTTATCTTACAAACGTATGTTAGATTATTCTGGTATGCTTTTGTTATATATAGGATTAAGATTTATTGTTTACCGACAATGGTTATTTAAGCATTGAACTGCTTTCAGTTGGCATTCATAGGCAATATGAATGGCAACTGAAAGCAGTTTAATCCTTATATTTACCATTTTTGGAATCTGTTCATCTCGTAGACATTTAGTGTAAATAATGTAATGTAATAATGTATCGTGTATGCTTGTTCAATGAATAGAACAGCCATCATACAGGGAACCAACGAAAAAGTATAATAAAAATGACGTCATTAAAATGATGACGTCAACAATCGGTCCATGGCATTCATAGCATTTTTGAATGCCAACTGTTTTGAGTTTTATAGTGGCTATGCCATACGATGGTAAATACGTTTCCATGTTTTAAAAAAACTGTCAGAAATTACAGATATATGACACGATAAAGATATGTAATCAGTTCTTAACTTTAATAATCTACAACCTTCCTGTATTGATATTGTAACAACTCGAAAATGAACAGTTGTGAAAAATTAAGCATGTTCTAGGAATAATTATCCTGAATTCAACATACAAAGATTCGTAATTTTGTCACAATCAATATACATACAGATACAGCTATTTACAACTCAGGAATTTAACAATATTAATAAATATACAAGAACCACGTTCAGATGCGGATATTTCTGTTATACATATATTAATGATACATGGTTATCGGTTTCTGTTCGAAAACCAATAAGGGACGGGAGAACACGGACGGACGTGGTGAAAACTACCAGGAACAGAACACTTCATTAGATATGTGTAAAATAATTATCTCAACATTAATAAATAATAATCAAAATCAAAAATTATTACAAATAACTAAACCATTGTGAGATACGTAACTGAGGTAGAATATATGTAGTGAAACAAATCCATGTACTAACACCAAAATTGATTAATATAAAGATCATAGTATTAGGCGATAGAGTCAGACGTAGAACACAACAATGATACTACATCATTCAAGTAGTACAGGTATGTATATAATAGGATCTTTCCATCAGAAATGCTGAAATTTAGACTTGCTTAATTGCCTCGTTTATGATATTTAAGGATTAACTTGAATAATTTTTTTTGTTATGGAGACATGCCACAAAAAACGGGGTGTACTCTAAATAAACCGCGAAGCGAAGCTCTCTTCAGAGAGAGAATGAAAGAGGGGAAGTATTTTGGACATGCCAGAAGCCAAACAAATGGACTTCAAGAAGGTTAACATGGCTACAGTATAAGGTTATACACGGGTACTGACTTACGGTATCTGAAAAATTTTCGTTAAGTAAAACCAATTTGATATTGAAGGTTTCTACTTAGTAAAAGAAACATGTAGTATGGTTGTTAAACTTCTTTCCTTAGGTAAAAATCGATTTGAATTTTTTCAGACATGTTCACCTTTTTTATTCGCATTGCCGCAATAATCGAGAAAAGGAGAAAACTCCTACTATTCACTTAAATGAAGTTAAATGTCAGGACGGCATAAAGGAAACAGAGCAACACCTACACAAGTAAACGACAGGAAATCGAAAACCACCTGTTTATAGTTTACATAAAATAAAACATATAAACACAGAACTGATAAAACGGCTGGCATAAACACAGACAACAAGCGCTGGTAAACGGATATAGTGGATCCTGATTGCATTAAAGCAAACATGCATGTGAACAACGGAGACCATTGTTATCAATACGCTGTCGTGTATAACACCTTTTACAGATGCGCTTTCTTTAGCTAAATCTACCATTGCTTTAACATCCATAACAACCACCTGTATTGTTTCAAATGTGTTCAATGTTACTATTAAATAAATACATTTGTATCACAATAAATATTTGCAAACATACGAGGCAAATTTCTTAAGATATGTACTAAAAAAGACTTAAGATGGATATAAATATTTAAATGAATATTCTTATGTGATCAATGAAACATGTCCACAAGATTTCAATTCAGCGAGCTTTGCTAAGCTCGAAAACATTAGGGCAAGGTTATAGGATAATCATCTGTTTCGCCCTAATTTGGCAAAGCTCACTGAATCGAAACCTTGTGAACAGAAATCAGGGTCGGGTACCCTAAACGTATCGTGTGTAACAGAAATCGGTGTCGGGTACCCTAAACGTATCGTGTGTGACAGAAATCAAGGTCGGGTACCCTAAACGTATCGTGTGTGACAGAAATCAGGGTCGGGTACCCTCAACTTATCGTGTGTGACAGAAATCAGGGTCGGGGACCCTAAACTTATCGTGTGTGACAGAAATCAGGGTCGGGTACCCTCAACTTATCGTGTGTGACAGAAATCAGGGTCGGGTACCCTCAACTTATCGTGTGTGACAGAAATCAGGGTCGGGTACCCTAAACTTATCGTGTGTGACAGAAATCAGGGTCGGGTACAATTAGAACATTAATCAAGATGGTGTATTTTCACCTATCGCTTGTAATATAATAATGCTTTGCTTGGTCTGTAAAAAACACGATTACCCAGTTCTCCAGAACAACATCTGATTTAGTCATAAAGTGTACTATTGAGAGACACTAATCTTGAATGAAGTTCAAAATATAACCATTTATACCTCTGAACATACTTACAATACAAAATCCTCACATTGAAGACTGTTATATTACTATCATTAAACCTTCGCTCTGGACATTTGAGGTAACGACCCTTAAGGCAAAACGAAATCTTTCTAAATGAAGACTTTGGTAACCAAAGCCATGATCCTTTATACATAACATGTTCTTTGATGTTACCTACAGCCACACTCTTTAACTACCATTCCGTCGTATTGATATTTAAACGTCACCACTCCAAGTTCATCCACATACAGGATAGATATAGGGTCCAGCTTTGTGGGAACACAACACGCTCTACTGGCCTTTTTAGGGTTTTTAGAGTTGAGGAGGGTCTGTATTATAGAGTGTTTCGTAGGAGACAGGTAGTCACTGAATGGGAAATAACACTTGCCGACACACTGGTAGGCCTGAAAAATACAATATCATCATGTTAACATACAAATAAATGGTAGGCCTGAAAAAGTAAACAATATCATTATGTTAACATAAAAATAAATGGAAGACCTGAAAAAGTAAAAAATATCATTATGTTAACATAAAAATAAATGGTAGGCCTGAAAAAGTAGACAATATCATTATGTTAAACATAAAAATAAATGGTAGGCCTGAAAAAGTAAACAATATCAGTATGTTAACATAAAAATAAATGGAAGACCTGAAAAAGTAAACAATATCATTATGTTAACATAAAAATAAATGGTAGACCTGAAAAAGTAAAAAATATCATCATGTTAACATTGAATAAATAACGACATTGAAAAGGTATAAACATGAACACAAAGGTTTCCTAACTTTTTTACGATATTTCAAAGCATAAATGTCAACGTTTTAATTGTTATTTATTTTAAATGTTGAAATACAACATATATGAGACAATGTGACAAGCTTTAATATCTCATCCCCATCGGTTGTAAATTGTACAAGTTGACTGTTGTTAATGTAACGTGTACAAGCTGTGTGCTTCTCAACAGTTACGTGAGAGATATATTCCGTCTTTTCGTATTGCAGAGTTATCTGCACTTGTGAGCAGGTATTGATTGTTACGTCATTTGTTTGTGAGAGTAACGTCATCAACTTTTGAGAAAACGACGTAATTTTCTCACACAAACCAATGACGTAAGAATCAATACCTGCTCACTAGAGAGGATAACTCTGCAATACGCAAAGACGGAATATATGATCATAGTAAGTAAAGAAATAATTACTATCATTTTGGCACGTGTTTTCTTTTTTTGTTTCTCTGGTGGTATTTATTGACAGGTTAATAATGAGATAATAGCCGTGATGTCTTTCATATAGCAATTTACGATAGAGAAGAGAAACAGCCAAAACTTATCGTGAATATAAATGCTGACGTCTTTCCGGGAGATGTACATAAACCCATTCCATTTGTATGTTATCAGTGTTTGATATGTGAATATTTATGCTATCATAATGATGGTTCCGATTAAATATCTCATTGGATTATTATCCCATTGCATATGTATTGTTTTCTGGTAGGAAATCCCCCTCCTGAAGGATCATAAATGGCTTATCCTCTCATATCTCTACAGACGATAATAAAAAAAAATCAAACCCTCCAAGCGGCGCAAAGCGCCGTCGGGGTTTGGTCTGTAAACACTTTGTCCACTTCCGGTGCTTCCCCATGCGTGAAAGCCTTCTGGGAAATTGAGGCCGCATACTGTCTACAAAAATATGATGGTAAACCTTACGGTATCGGTATTTAGTACTGTTTTCTAGTGAAATATCATGAATTCTCCATCTGATAAACACATATGTTTAATGCGGTGAAGATAAACGAAATATTATATATTCGCAAGTAAAAACGTCACTCTTAGTATTGTCCAATCTGAACGGTACATTATATTCTCTGCGTAGATTTTTCAGTTTCAAGTTTAGATGAAGTGACGGCAGACTAAGTGGTTGTGTTGTCAACATTTGCAGCATACATTATTGTTTTTACATATCTACACAATTAATATCATTTTTGTCCGGAAATCTTAACAGATACATGTAATACTAGCAAACAGCAAAATTGCAATGAAAACCCATTCAAAATGGCGCTCTGTATTGTTGTTAAGCGTGACGTCATTATAATTTGGCGTCAAAAACTACGTTACACATTCTCGCGCTTTTCTGATGAAGCAATATTTGCGCCTCATGACGTGAAAAAATGCAAGAAATAGAAAATGTCATGGTTTTCCCGTTCAATACGATATATTTATTTCATTTGTATAAAGCGAATGTGATAACAGCCAAAAAACCAACGTTGTGGCAAAATGTGTCTTCGCCTCGAGAAGTAACAACTACTGTTCAAAGGGGCGAGGGCTACAATTGACGCTTTAACCTAGAAGACGGTTGGCGTTTTATCCAAAATAGTCAAATAGGTACATTGTCAAAAGAAATATTTGCAAAAATCGCTGCAATTTTGACAAAAGGTATAAAAGATATTTTTATGTAAATCATCTTCATGTCCCGGCTTCTCTCTCTCAGAAGATGGCGTTATTACCAAATCGTTGACATTTAACGTTAGGCCTATACGTGCAGTTGAAACTGTACATTTGCGTGCTGTGGGACAATTATTAAGTGCCAAAAGTGCAAAATGTAAGGATATTGAGCGTGAACTGAATATTCTGAACGACAAAATAATGCCATTAACAATATATATAATTATAAATAAATAGATTCAAGTATGCAAGATCTGTTCCCTCGTGTTTGTTGGACTGTCAGTAAGTCGTTTTCATAAAAAAAAAAATGGTGTCCAGCAGCTTTGCTGCATTTTCTTTATTTAAATATTCCATATCCTCATTGCTCATAGACTGTCATCGTTATGCAGTTTTTCTAAAAGATTTTATCGTGATAAATTGAAAAACAAAATTGATTCTGCAGACACCAAAACATAAACGCCATTGCCTACAGAAAAAAGAAACATTTTTCCTGAAAACCTTGAAATTGAAACAGTATAGGGAGTGGATTGGGGGGAAGAGTGGGAACTTAATAGGGCTGCATGTTACTATACCAGCGCTGTAAGTTTACTAGGGAAAAGAGCGGGAACTTAATAGGGCTGCATGTTACTATACCAGCGCTGTGAGTATACTAGGGAAAAGAATGGGAACTTAATAGGGCTGCATGTTACAATACCAGCTCTGTGAGTATACTAGGGAAAAGAATGGGAACTTAATAGGGCTGCATGTTTCTATCCCAGCGCTGTGAGTATACTAGGGAAAAGAATGGGAATTTAATAGGGCTGCATGTTACTATACCAGCGATGTGAGTATACTAGGGAAAAGAATGGGAACTTTAAAGGGCTGCATGTTACAATACCAGCTCTGTGAGTATACTAGGGAAAAGAATGGGAATTTAATAGGGCTGCATGTTACTATACCAGCGATGTGAGTATACTAGGGAAAAGAATGGGAACTTAATAGGGTTGCATGTTACTATACCAGCGCTGTGAGTATACTAGGGGAAAGAGTGGGAACCTAATAGGGTTGCATGTTACTATACCAGCGCTGTGAGTATACTAGGGGAAAGAGTGGGAACCTAATAGGGCTGCATGTTACTATACCAGCGCTGTGAGTATACTAGGGAAGAGAGTGGGAACTTAATAGGGCTGCATGTTACTATACCAGCGCTGTAAGTTTACTAGGGAAAAGAGCGGGAACTTAATAGGGCTGCATGTTACTATACCAGCGCTGTGAGCATACTAGGGGAAAGAGTGGGAACCTAATAGGGTTGCATGTTACTATACCAGCGCTGTGAGCATACTAGGGAAAAGAATGGGAACTTAATAGGGCTGCATGTTTCTATCCCAGCGCTGTGAGTATACTAGGGAAAAGAATGGGAACTTAGTAGGGTTGCATGTTACTATACCAGCGCTGTGAGTATACTAGGGAAAAGAGTGGGAACTTAATAGGGTTGCATGTTACAAAAACAACTTTTGAGTAGATCAGGGCAAAGACATGGAAGTAAATAAGTGTGTGTACCAAAGTCAGTGTTGTGAATACACCAGGGCAAAGAGTGGCAAATAAGTCGGTCTGTATGCTATTTAAACAACCAAAATTACTTCAATCATAGCAAGTACACTGTAGCCTCAGGAGGCGATTACATTATCAAAACTGAATATGACAATAAATTATAGAAAGCAGCATCAGTGATTGGAACAGCGAGGCGGGGCTCGTTAGCTAAACCGACAGCTCCGTTCATTATTGATAAATACAAATAGTCCAGCCCTTCCTACCGGGAAAGAAATGTGTTTTCTATAGGAAGATAATATTAAATATTTATTTCCCAAAGATATGAAAATTGTCTGGCCTGGTGTGTGGAGAGGGATTCCAGAGTTGGGTGTGAGGTAGCCGCAGTATCGATAGCCCCGGAACACATCAGTTATACCTAGATAGCTAAGATAATCACTCTAGATACGCTCACCATATATTATAAAATTATGGCAGAGAGAAAATTTGTGTTATTTTTCTACAGATCTGTAGATGTTCCTTAGATGATTACTGTGGAAGGCGCGGTATGTAAGTGAACATTTGCCCGGGACTCCTGTCCAATCTCCCCCATAGGGAGGACGTGAGTCGCCGCATAGGGTGGGCACACAATGTCCGGACGTCAGGCATATACATATCTTAAATCAAATACTTATATATAGGACGTACGTCAATAACATTCCCGCTGTTCGCAGATACCGTGAACTTTAACGAAATTGATTAAGGCAATGATACGAGTTCTAAACCCAACATATAAACCATATCAAATTTGGCACCTAAATATAGAAGAAAAAAATGGAATGAAAAAGTTGATATGACAGTCAGCTATTCCAATGAACGAATATGATGTGTTTTATTTCGAGTTAATAAGTACAGTTCATAAAATATATGAGTGTATATTTACATCGTGCTCGGAAGCATGTAAGGCCCGTGTGCTGTATGTAGGGCGTGCGTTACATGTTATCTCCTCTAAACGACTAATTGATTGGGTAAATTCGCGACTCTCCTGAAGCTGCCTCGAACGTTCGCCAGGATGTGTTGTCGGAATTTGGCAAGGTATTTGTAAAACTGTTGATTCACCATGTGATTTTATCAATGTGTGTTACATCACGGTATTGCTGATAATTGCGGCAAAGTATTATATTTCGATTTCGGCAGTTACCTGCCCAGGTATGTAAATCAAAACATATTTAATTCTCTGAACGTGTTTTAAACAGCAAACTTTTACCCCCAAAGTGGAACACACCGGTAAGTAAAGCGGTAGTATTTTGCAATTAAAAATAGCGTAGACTACTCTGGTCGGATTCTCTGATAGTTATAAATTGAATACAGTACAATAATGGTATTCTCACAACACAATTCTATATTACACATAAAAGTTTACTTTCTTTCCTCGGTATTAATATTCTAGTGTT